TATAGTGTGGTGTTATATTGTTTGGTGTTTTTCAGTTTTCTGTATCAATTAAAGTACAACCAGCTCATGGCCCTTTTTTTCTTAAATAATTTTATTTTTGAATAACCTATTTACAAGTGATTACCATTACTAAACAAGTACCAAAATATCTGTCGTACTCTTTAATTTGCACTGAATTTTAATATTGTTTTTTGTCGTTCCAATAAAGTATATCTCTATTGTCTATGTCTAAAACATGTCATTAAATAATCTATTTACAATGGAAAACAACATCGTTATTAATAACCATTTTCACGACCCTACTTTGATTTAACTAACTTTGATTTTAATCCGTAATAAATGAATCTCAAGCCTATCTTTGAAATCTTGACACGTTTTCCGTCTGTGTGCGCATATTTTTTAATAATCTTTTTGAAAATTCTTTTTTTTACATTAATTATCTATATTTCTACTTCCTAATAGCTGTTTTCGATACCGATATTTGGTAATCAGCTGACAATCCAAACTCTTTACCAATCCATGCTACAAGAGGTGAAAATTGGATTTGCTTTTCAGTCAAAGTCTTTTCGAAACACATCAAGCTCCTTCCCTCTCCATCTTCGTTCGATTTTCCAAAGAGGAATGCTGCTTTTGACGTTGGGCCTTTATCCGTCTGATCTTTGGCGAAATACTCTGGAAAAAACGTTTTTGCAAATTCCAAGTCGTCTAGTGCTTGCGGTTGACGTTTCTGTCGCTCGTCAGAATTGGTGGCAGAAGCGGGATGATCATTGCTTTGAAAATCCCTAGACTGTCTTATAAACTCGATAACAAAGTCTCTACCCTCTAACAGGGAAATTCCAGAGGTTTTAACAGTGGTCTCCATGCTGTCGGCAACCAAGATAATCCAAAATACTGAGGTACTGTTTCTTAGTGTGCTGTTTGATCTAAGTATTGTCGGTGTTTGAAGGGTCGATGTTGATACCTATTTATATACTCTTATGCCTGCTCGACACAACGTGAGGGCAATGAAACGTTTCGTAACAACTGGCAACACGTGTTGTGAGGTGCTGTTGTTCAAAATAGCCGAGACAAGTATGATACCCAATTAGGTAATGGTTAGTGGCAGATCAACGAAAGATTAATGGCTGGATGTTTAAGAGCGACTGTCCACTAATATCGAGCCAAATCAAGAATCGGCGGCAACAGTGAAAAAATCGATTTTCTTTATTTTTGGTCCAGAGTTAGGTATTAGTGAGTAAGTAAACGTGGTGGGTTTTATTTCTTCAAAAAAAATGTTATCGCTGAGAAAAATCGAAAAAACGGT